GAGAAGGAGGTGGGGGCGGAGAATTTTTCCTTTTAATTTTTCCCAAGGGTTTTTTTTTTTTTTTTTTTTTTTTTTTTTTTTAATCAAACTCATTGAGATGAGATATTTTTCTACATCTGGGGAATAAACTGTTACAAATATTTATCTTTTCAGAACATGACCTAAAAAAATATGACCTTTAGGACCTGCTGGGTCAAGACGTTGCAGAGCCATCTTTTGTTCAGCAGTTCCCCTACAATGTCTTCACTCTAAGGTTCTGGCCTGCTTCTCTGATAAATGATCGTTGTATTCATACTTTTAGTCAACATGATTTTTTAGGAACATTTCTCTGTTAAATTCTTAAACTACAAAAAAATTAAATAAAATTATTAGTAGCCAGATTAAGTAGTTTTAATCTGCTTAAAACACAGTACTCCATTTTGGTCTGTCAAAATGTTCCAGAACATTTTAAGGCATGTTTGATGGATTAACGATGTTCCCGATCGTGCTACTGTGCAGGCTTTCTGCAGCTGGTGGGACCAGCCCTGCTGTCGGAGCTTCAGAAAATAAGACATGAACCCCTGTTTGATGTTTAAATCAGGTCATTTAAATCGAGAGTAAAACCATTTCTTCCTTAGTCAGAATAAAATGAAAACTGAAGCAATGTCACATCTGGAGCGGGAAGCAGATTTAAATCAACGCTTACTGTACAAACGCAGCAACCTCCCCTTCTATCGCCTTGTGTATGGATGGTGCTGTACTGTAAAGAAAATCTGTAAAAATGCCCGTTTGTTTGGTAAACAGTGGATTAGTCATATGAGTGAATCTACAGCCGGATTTCTTCTTTTGTTGTGACAATGTCACAGGGTGACTTAAGTGGCTCAGACCTCTTATTTTGTTTCCGGTCCGTCTTGTGCTCAGCCGTAACCACGTTCGGCACATTACAGTCTATCTGTTCCCGCAGCCCTGGATTAATCTCCTGTTTCCTCTGGATTATCTTAATCCCAACTTTAATCCACTGAACAGCAAAGTTATTGTGTTTGAATTTGAACCCAGTTCCCTTTGTGGCAGGAAATGATGTGTAGACCGTGTTTACAAAGCTGGGTTAAAAAAGAAAGGAAAAAAGAAAAACAGCAGTTGGGTAAGAGATGTTGGCGTCTTTCTTCAGACGGCTTTATGTGGGATTATCTAAAGATTTCTTCTGTTTTTAAAGAAGAGCTGAGACACAAGCAAAATCATTTTGACCTTCTCTTACAACGAATAAAAACATTAAGCACCCTTTTAAAGCCGTTATGCTAACCACATATTCCCCTCAGGTTCCAAGAAAAAGATAAAAATGGCGTAACCGCTGTTTGCGCAGACGGGAACTGTCGTCGCCTTCCCCTGTAAAGTGTCATTTTTGCAAATCCAGTGAGAAAACTAAAATATAACCTGGTCCTTCGTGAAGCCTTCGTAAGAGGAGGGCGGGAACGGACACGGTGACAGCTCTGCTCATCTGTGGCAGCAGTCTGTTAAATTCAGAGGGGCTCCACATCCTGGCAGATCTTATGCATTTTTAATGCTCACTCCGAACTGAAAAATGCAAGAGGATGATGGATATGCAGGAGACTCCTCGTGCCAGATGATACCCCTTCTACATTACAAGTGTAACCAGCTACTTGCTCTCCATGTGCTACTCATGATGCATCCCGCTGCCAAACACTTGAATAAACAGATTCTAACAAATATATTTTTTGGTTTCTAACCAGACGTTAGCTTAACGGCTTGTCGATGCTAACACAGATAATTAGCAAAACAACGGTTTTCTAGTGCCTTTTTTTTTTCCATCCAAACCGGATATATGAAAGTTATTAGAAGAGATGATGTAACCGCCTGCTTGGTGCAATCCCACCATCACGTCTTCCACTATGAACCACCTGCTTTTTACTGATTTATCGCCTCCATTCTTTGACCCGACACCAGTTTGTGTCTTTATGTTTTCTGTTCTGTTGTAATCAGATTCCATTTGGAATAACTTTTGTATGACTTTTGTATGACTGGATTGAATTTATTCGTAAGTGCCTAGAGACAATATTTTTGGGGGGGAATTGGCGCAATGTGAACAAACTTCATCCTGGTCACTGGGTGACCAGCAATTCCACTTCAAGGTTGGACAAATACTCTGGTTAGAAGGTGGTCAAGTTTGCTTTTCACTGAAGGTTCTAATTTGACAAAGCTGCGTCAAGGAAAGAAAACTGAAACACAACAAACTGATCATCTACGAGGGTAATCTGTAATGATCAGTTTGTTTTTGACAGACTGCTGCTTTCTTGTCGCGCTGCAGTCGGCCGCCCACGTCGCCTGGCACCAGGGACCGGTCTGGTTCTGGGGAGCAGGGAGGTGAGATCACAGGTAGGAGCTCGTCCGTCAGGTCGTTATGCAGGAAAGCTGTGAGCTGATTTCAGGGGTTAGATTTATCCGTTCCATTTAAAAGAAGTGCTGAAGCTCTAATAACTGTCTGCTGTAATTAACACGCACTCAGAGCTATTTAACTAAAAAAATAAAAACTCAGTAAGTAGCTCGAGTGCACTCACAACTTGTCGAGTAGCTGTGGCTCTTTGGACCGTTACAAACACAACGCTGGGTTTGTCATATCACTTTGTTGAAACGGTGAGAAGCAGGTGAGAGAGAAGGATTCGGGTCAAGTTCTAATCCTGAATGTTAAAGGGGCAGCATTATATATTTACATCACATTCACACAGTGCCATTTTATAGCACAATCAAGTAACACTTACCTTCAGTTGTATATATCGATATATATATATATATATATATATTAAAGGAAATTTGACTAATGTAATGTCTCAATTGTTGAATTTTCTGTTTTTATGGTGCAAAGCACTTTGAACTATCTTGGTGCTGAAATGTACTGTACAAGTAGATTGAACATCTGAAAATTGGGCCTCCGTCTCTTTAAGAAGCTCCTGCTCTTTCTGAAACGCCGCCTTCAGGACATCGTCACAACATTGTTCCTCTAGTAACGCTTCAACAGCATCCTTAGCGTTTCACTGAGAAGTAATTTTTTATATAATGAGTTCAGCAAACGCACAGTTCCACCAGTTGTTTGCCATCTGCTGCTGCCACTAGTTTGAAGGAGCTGTGAGGGTGGAGGGGTGGAGCATGCATCACACTTCTGAGGTTTCTGTTCAGATAAACAGAAGAATAATAAAAGCCTCACCTGAGAGTCTGATATGGACACCCGTTTCGACTCCACTGTGGGCCTGCGAGCCCCTCGAGACGAGATGTGCGTGTAACCTCCCTCTGACCCCGCCGACAGGTAGGTGCCCCTCTCCTGAAGGGACAGCTTCCTGCCGGACAGGTGAGGTCGCAGCGCCTGGACCCGCTTGCCTTGAATGCTCTCCTGCTGAGCCTTTCCGTTCTTCATGCCGTTGGCGGACGAGCCTTCGGGGTCTTTCGTCGTCATGGCGGCCATGAGATCGGTCAGACTGCTCGTCTGTTTGGAGGAGTTGGGGTCCAGCCTCTCGCAGCCCGGGTCGCTGCTCATCGCCATGGCGTCCAGAGGGGGTTGATGGTGGCGCGGGAGAACCAAGGAGCACCCAGCAGCATCAATGTGATCTGGGCCAGCCTGCGGTCCTCAGCTGAACTGGAACCAAACAGGAAATGAAGTATGGTAATGAGTTTGAGCTGGGCGATAAATTGATTCAATTGATAAATCAAAATTTTTGTTTTTGAGGGTTTAAATGTTGGAAAATCTGGATGATTTTTTTTTTTTTTTTATACAAACGCATGCCATAGTTTAGAGTGATGTTGGTACACCCAAGGCCGCCATCTTTATTTGATAAGCTTGTTTTATAGCGTTTTTTTATTTGGACTTTGAATTCAGGTCAATGACGGAATATTAAGGGCAGGATACAACTTTTATTTATTTCATGAATAAAGTCAATGTAACAAAAACATGTTTTTGTAATATTACAAAAGATATTTTTTGTACATTGACTCTAGTGTCATTATTTCAACACTAGAGTCCAAATAATGACAATAATGTAGGAGATTAAAGTTGTAAATTTATGAAAACTAAAAAAAAATTTAAATGAGGAATGACGTTTTACAGAAAAGAAAATACTAAATCTGCTAGGACATCAACACCATACAATGATGTATTAGGGCCATTGTAGATTAAAAACCAAAACAGGAGTAATAGATTTTTCATAAGGATTTTAAAAGTNAAAAATTTTAAAAGTCAAAAATTAGTTAGAAAAGAAAAGACTCCAAAATGTTGAGATTAATAGAAATTTTTGAGGAAAAGAAAAACGTGGAAATTGCGAGAACGACACAGAGAGATCTGCTGAACTCTATCCAAGCTTTCTGCTTCTGGTAAAATGATATATTTATTCTGTTAATATTACAATTATATTCTCGTACTTAAAGAAAAATTCTCATAGCGTGGTCTTAATACTAACAGAAGGGATGATGGGAATAAAAGCCACTTTTTAAAAATATTTTCTTTCATTTGTCTTTTTTTTTTTAGTTAGTAGAAAAAGCGAGGAAAGAAATTTATTCGATAAAATGTGCTGTTTGCATAAAAATAAGTGCAAGAGATCTGCACCCGAAGGAATGGCTCAAAGCTCAAAAACAAGTTCGTATTTACAAAACTACCGATTCGTTTAAAACGCTCTTCTAAAATGCCTCGGTGGTATCAAACTGTTCACACAACCAAAGCTGATTGAAGCAACCAACCAGAGGCTGGAGTTTAATTAAGCGGTCTGAAGCAAATAGGAAATGTCATCTTCTTGTGTATGCGGGCGGCCTGGTGGGTCAAGTTTCCCACTGTAGACATGCACTCATTAATTCAAACAAATGTCAGAAATAATAAAAGCAAGCCCTTTCATTGAAAAGTTAATTACACGTTATGCCTTCGGTCATGAGCCGCTGCATCCCTGTGAAATACACAATGCCAGGCTAACATGAAGCTATGCTAAATTTGGCTGAATAACCAAACATTTGTTGACTGCGTTCCAGCCTTTCATATATAAAGAAAAGGACGTCAGAAGGAGAAAAAAATGTAGTAAAACAGAAGCCTCCAAATCCCACGTAAGCTTCTAGAAAAGAAACCCAAAAGTGAGACGGGGAGGCTGAACGCAAGGTCACCTTGGAGATGTTGAGGAAGTGTTGCAGGATGCTATTCCTGAAGTGTGTCGCAAAGGTACAGTCACACACAGCAGTGATGTGCTCAGGTTCTCCATCCACCTGACCGTCTGTTCTACACTCACTGGCGATGTGAACTTAGTTTTATCACAATATTATACTGTTATACCATTGTGATGACAATAAAAGTGACAAGAACTATTATTTACTTCTTTTTTAGGTAATTGTATGGCTGTGAATGCATGACACAGTAGTAACAGCCCCAGACACACACACACACACACACACACACACACACACACACACACACACACACACACACACACCTCTCTTAGAAAACAGTCTCGTTTGTAAAGCGCTTCACAAAACGAAGTATGATTGGCATCACGACATTGCATTTAATCAAATTTATTGATATTTATTAATACTCTCATTGAACAAACAGTGGAGAAAATAGTACAAAATTTGACAAAATTAGCAGTTCTCTTTAAAAACATTATTTGAAATTCATCATGAAGGCGATGAATTAAAATTTTTACTGTGACAAGAAATTTATCCCGATAAAGGACAAGTGATACTAATTGGACACTTTATTAGGTATATTTAAACTGATATTTACACAAATGCTCACTAAAATTTCATAAAAGGTTGGAAAATTTTAATCAAAAATACAAATAAATTGATTAAAGCATCAGGACTTATGCTGCTTGATACTGGGGGGGAAACAGGACATTGTGATATTTTTATAAAAATGTAAGATTATTTCATCTTATGATCTTGCAACAACACTGTCGCCTTCTACTGTTGAATAAACTTTAAAACCAAGCCATAATCCGCTCCAACCATTATTAGTTCTGTAAACGGTGCGCTGCTGTGTGACGCATTTTGTAGTATGAACAACTGCGCAGAGAAAATCCGATTTCAGCAACAAAACAAACAAACAAAAAAACAGTGCTTCATTTCCCCTGCTGCCAGAAAACAGCAACACATTTAAAATGTCAAAATAGAAAGAAAAACTGCGTTGAGCCAAAAGCTCTGGCCTTCCACAGCAGCCCCTATCGCTTCAGCCTGCGGGCTTTCTGTAGGTATCCACCAACCATCCGCCATCACAACAGGAAGCGCCTCATGGTGGGAAGTAAAACCATTTAATGACATCAGCGATGCAACCCAACAGCGACTCTGTTGGCTCATGTGACAAAATGGCAGCTCTCATCCATTACTCAGACCAGTTTAATGACAGGAAAGGGACGTCGTGTGGAGAAGTGCTCGCTCGTCAGGCGTCAGGGCCACGATCGCCCTGCGGCACATGCGCACATCAACGTCGCTTTCCGAACGGCTGTTATTTAAATGACACGCGTTGCGCGAGCAGGAAGAGTCCTTTTAGCCACCTGCAGCGAGGGGGAAGTGCATTGTCTGCGTCCTGACTCATTTGAACGACGGACAAAGAGGAACCGTCATATTTTTTTTTTTTTTTTTTTTTTGCTAATTCTCATCCCAACTGGTGATTATGCGGCTCCTGAAACGGGCTCGTTCTCCCTCCGCTGTGGCTCCATTCGGCGAGCTGCATGTGGGAGCAACATCCTGGCGGAGGTTGGAGGCGGAGGAGAAGTCCTGCTCTGGTTATTAATTTTAGCTGCGCTGAGACTTTCTATTGGTTTACACAAGCGCATTATGCTGGGTCCATTTTATTTTATTTTTTAGCTAGGTTATTTTTTCCCATTAGAAAAGATTGTATATTTGCAGCTTCAATCCATCTTGTTTGATAATCGTTTTTCAGTTTTTCAGCTCTGTCCCAGCGCTTCAGAAAAAGTATGCGAGTTTGGTCGTTTACTGCAGTGACTTTCTAGATTTGACAAAGAAAACCGAAGAAGCAACTTCTGTTTGTTTATTTTGTTTTAATGTGAGGTGATTAAACTCAACCTTCTGCTTCAATCCCCACAGTAGTTTACGGCACTGGAATTGAGCCAACAGCATTTGTTTGGCTTACAGAGCATATTCACCTCAAGCTTTGTATTCTTTCTTCTAGGGCTCTTGAAAATGTTCCTATTGGCATACAGCATGCAGCAAGCAGCAGAGACAATTACAGTAAGAGGGATGAATGGCCTGTAGCCAGGAGGAGAGATAAATTGATTTGGTTTCCATTTGTGAGCCACTTTTACCCCTAACCTGCTTTCAATCATCCTTTGGCTGTGTGCTGACATCAAATCCAGCCATCCCAGTCCAAATTATGGTTTGAAATGCTTAACTACAGCAAATAAATCACTTCAGATCTGGTTGTGGGAAATAGAAATAGAAAGTACACCCTTCTTCTATCCTAAGGTTGTTTTTTTTTTACTCATCAGAAAAATCAGCCTTAGTTTAATAGAACCTCAAGATAATTAACCCTTTATGTACTGAATTTAAAATGTCTGCTTGGATATTGTACGCAGCTCTTTAAATGTCCTGTGAGTAAATATATATATTTGTCCATTTATCCATAACAACTGGGACTTTCGATATCTAGCAAGTTATTTGTTCGTTCTTGTCAGGATTCTGGGTTTTCAGCGTTAGAGTTTCTCCAATGTTTGCAATTTGATAATTTTCTTCGTTTGTACTCAGCTTTAGTGATTCTTTTTTTCAGTATTTTCTTAGCCGTTTATTCACTTATGTTTAGATTTTTCTGTTTGCTCTTTCTTTGTATTCAGTTTGTCATTTTCAGTTAGGTTTATGTTCTGCCTGTTCCTCAGTTGTTTATGTTTACTCCTCCTCTGCTCAGCTTATGCCGTTAATTTCTCTCTCCCTCAGCCTGCCTGCCTGTTCTCTCCTCACAGCTGCACCCGGTTTACAATCAGCCACCTGTTCTTTCGCTTGTATTTTTAGGCTCATTTTTTCTTTCTCACAACGAGATCCTCCTGTTTGTTCCATTTGCCATCAGGAGACTCCCAATGTCCCGTCTGCATTTTGGTCCGATTCCTACATGTACCGTAATAATTATGTTATAGATTTGAGATGATTGGTTTCCTGCCCCAGTTTGATCCAAGTTTGAACTGCTGGACAGCTGGCCTAACATTTTAACTTAAGACTTTAGTATAAGCAGTTATTGGTTGACTTGGGGACTTCAGTATACCTCGTCACCACCATTTTTGACAGATGATATGACGTTCCTTTTTGCTGACACACCATGTTTATTTTTTTCTGCATTGACGTCTGCTTGGGTTAGATTATTTGAGTGTTTTATGATTTCTAAGACAAGCCTGCCTTAAACACAGAAAACCCCCACAAGATGCAGGGCATATGCTCCTGTGGTGCTACCGACGGGCTGTGAGCTGTTGATGCAGAACAGAATGTGTTGATGGGCAACATACTGTGGCTCCATGTTTAAGATCAAATAAAGTGGAGAATGGAAGAAACAGCAAGCACCAAACTGAACAAGGCTCTCAGGATTAGTCGTTAAGATATAATAAAGGTTCAGGAGATTATTTATCTGTGTAAAGAGTAAATTAAAAGTAAAAAAAGTAA